GACACGGAGACGGGAACCGCGCTCCGAGTGCGGGTCTGACCGAGGGATAATGAGACGGGATCCGTGCATGGTGCTCCGTGTTTGGGTCTGACCGAGGGATATGGGATTGAATCAAAAGGATCAGCCAGAATGTGTTCCATCTGATGCATGTCCGTGTCTCTAACCCAGTCACAGAAGGTGATCAGTGACCCTCGAACATTTGCTGACTGTCTGTGGGAATCCATCTGGTCACTCACGTCCTTCCCTGTTCTGTCCCTTCGCGTGACTCCATACCCAACATCGATGAGTTTGGCTCTTAACTCCCCCTCTGAGAGTGACAGTGACGTTGAAGTGGTAACTGGGGACTTGCACTAGACTCGAACGCAGAGGATTCAGAGTCTGAGCAGGTTCAAGTTCAGAGAAGGAGAGATTTCTGAGCACCCAGTGACAATACCTGGGTCCCAGTTCAGTGGGGAATGGGGAGGGCGAATGGAATATCATTTCACAGGGAATGGAGTATAAGAACCGCGAGGTTTCACTAAAACTGCAGAAGTCAATAGTCAGGCCCCAGCTGGAATACTGCGAACAGTTCCGGGGCCCCGTATCCAAGCAGAGACAGACTGGGACATCGGGGGCAGCCCAGAGAGGGTTCGCTCGGCTGATCCTGGGGACGGAGGGACTGTCTGATGAGGGAGGGAGGGGGTGTGAGCCGGTTGGGGCCTGTACCCGTTGGGGTTTAGGAGAATGAGAGGAAACCCGATTGAAATGTACAAGGTCCTTAGGGGTGGGCAGGGGTGACCTGACAGGGGGAGATGTGGAGAGGGCGTCTCCCCCCTTGTGTGGGAGAGTCTCGGAGCCAGAGGGGCATCATCTCAGAATAAGGGGGTCGCCCATCGAAGACTGAGGTGGGGAGGAATTCCTTCTCTCCGAGGCAGGGCGCGGGGGAGGGAGTCTGTGGGGTTCTGTGTAAAGGTGGGTGGTGGTGGGGGGTGGTGTCCCTTCGCTCTGAGGCTGCGCCCTTGGGTCCCAGTCTTTCGTACAACTTGGAACATCTTCACCACTTCTTCCTCAGTCAGATCCCTCCAGCCCCTGTGGTTGTGAACCCCATCGAGTGCAGGGGAGCTCACTCACCGAGGGTCCTGAGCTCCTTGACGATGGGCCGTGAGAGTGTTGGGTGGGTCACGGTGCACTGGTAACGGTGCGCTTCCATCCACGTGGAGCTACTGAGCTGAAGACGGCTAACGGCCGTGTACCTCTCGCTGGTATCTTGGCACATGGGCTGCTGGGTGACTCTGGCCCTCACGGTATGCCCGTCTATCAGCCAGGAGATGCGGACATTGGAGGGGTAGAATCCAGAGGCCAGGCAGAGCAGGGTGGCAGTGCCATTCTCCCGGAGCTGCCCAGCGAATGGAGAGTGAAGTTCCACCGAGGGAGCGGATGATGGAGGCACTGGGAACACAACAGAGATGGTGGTCAGTCCATCCGCTCACCGGAGCGATGCTGAGGGCAACCGTGGCCACGGGCGTCACTGACCCCCGGTGACCCTGAGCGCGGAGGTCACTCACTGACCCCCCTGGTGACCCTGGGGGTGGAGGTCACTCACTGACCCCCCGTGACCCCGAGCGCGGACGTCACTCACTGACCCCCCGGTGACCTGAGTGAGGAGGTCACTCACTGATCCCCCGTGACCCTGAGTGAGGAGATCACTGACCCCAAGTGACCCTGAGCGAATAGGTCACTCACTGACCCCCCCGGTGACCCTGAGCGCAGAGGTCACTCCCTGACCCCCCCGGTGACCCTGAGCACAGAGGTCACTCCCTGACACCCACACCCGGTGACTCTGAGTGCAGAGGTCACTCACTGACCCCTTGTGACCCTGAGCGCGGAGGTCACTCCCTGACCCCCACCCCCGGTGACTCTGAGCGATGAGGCCCTGACCCTTCTCCCAGTGACCCCGCACCGAGACACCAGGCCCTAAGCTCCGGCTCCCTGTCCCACCGCCCGGTCCAATGCTATCGTAGCGGACACTGATGTGTGGCCTCACCTGCCTGGACCCTCAGGGTGGTCCCACAGCTGCAGAAATCCGTGACATTTTCATTGCTGAGGTTGTCGGAGCTTTGGCAGAAATACCTGCTGGAATCTCGCTGCGTAGCTCGAGCGATCCGGAGCTTTATCACCTTACGTCGGAAGTTCTTCTCTGCCCAGTATCGCCCAGAGTTGCCGTTGACATACGTCGGTGTCTCAGACCCGGGGCTCCAATAGAGCAGCTGCTTGATGCCAGAAGTGCCCGGGGGGACGTAACCCCACAGGAGGTAACGGTCATCGATTTTACGGGAATAGCGACACTCCATGGAGACCGGCTCCCCCTCGGTGACTGTCATCATGGTGGATGAGAATCGGAAGTTCACACCCCCGGACGTCAGGCCTGTGGATAGAGAGGGAGCCCCAGACCCGTCAGACCCCAAGCGGGTGGGCAGAGACAGAGCTACCACAGGCCCTTCGACCTGTCCTGTCCATGATGGGCATCAAGCATCGCTCGACCATCATCCCAATCTCCCATCGCATGGCCCAGGGCCTCCCATTGGATGGTGTTGTACCTGGGTTCCCGTATCCAAGAAAAGTTGTGGTGCTGACCTCGGAGGGGGTGCTTGGGCAGAGGAGGTTTACGAGGATGACCCCGGGGATGAAGGGCTGGTCGTGTGGGGAGGGGGTTGAGATAAGACTCTGGGTCTGTACTCGATGGAGTTTAGAAGGAGGAAGGGGGAATCTGATGGAAGTTTACAGGATACCGAGGGAGCTGGGATAGAGCGGGGCGGCGGGGGGGGGGGAAGATGTTCCCAGGGGGGGGACCGGGAGCCGAGGGCACAGCCTCAGGGTGAAGGCGGGAAACGACCCTTTCGAACTGAGAGGGGGAGGGATTTCTTCAGGAAGAGGGTGGGGGCGGTATCTGAGGGACCCATTGCCACAGAGGGCTGTCGGTGGTGGGGGGACAGGTCATTGAGTGTGTGTAAGACAGAGATAGACAGCGTCGTGGTTGGTGAGGGTTACGGGGAGAAGGCAGGAGAATGGGGTTTGGGAAACGTGTTGGAACATTGTTGAATGGTGCAGCAGAGTCGATGGACCGAATGGCCTATTTCTGCTCCTTTATCTGATGGTCGTATGGTTTCTCAGTGACCACTCTACCATCTCCCTCTGCTCTCCTGTTTTAAGCAGTGATTTAGACCCAGCCCCATATAAACACAGGGGCTACAGGAGCGGGTCAGAGGCTGGGAATCCTGCAGCAAGTAACTCCCGTCCTGCCTCCCCCCCGCGTCCCACCATCAACAAGGCACAGGGCAGGAGGGGGAGGGAATACTCCAGTAACTCCCGTCCACCTACCCACCCCGTCCCACCATCAACAAGGCACAGGGCAGGAGGGGGAGGGAATACTCCCCACTTGCCCCTCCAACAACACTCGAGAAGTTCGACACCTTCCAGGGACAAAGCAGCACCCC